TCTCTCTATCTATCTCTCGCTCTCTCTCTCTCTCTCTCTCTCTCTCTCTCTCTCTCTCCCATGTTTTTCTCTCTTTTCTCTCTCTGTCTAGCCTATCTCTCTGTTTCTCTCTTTCCGCGTACTAGGTTTACATCATCGCTGTTTATCGTCCGCTCAAACACTTGAGTTGAGGTCAAATCCACCACTGTCTTAAATATAATAAAAATGTAGCCCATATCGCAGTACTTACGAAGTCTTGTAGTACTTTTCAACTAAGTATAAAGGTTCTAATCTAATGTACTTAAAAGAAATAACCTTAATTGACCTTTCCTCTCTTTCGGATAAAATATAATTTGTTTATTAGTACAGCATTTCTTTTCATATCTCTGTTATGCCTGACCTAGTTTTACGTTACCCTTGTTTATCATCCGCACATTATTTTGCACAAACATACACAAAGGTCAAGGTCGTCTCAACCTCGCTGTGCCATATACGTATAAATGTATACTTGGCGTTCCGTGTCTGTCCTGAAAACGCCCTTCAACTCAGTGTACTTGAAAGAAAGTGATCTCAATTTACCTAACGTCTATTTCCAATTTATGTAAAATTATCTTCTTCAATTCACACTTCTCTGTCCCAATTTAACATAATAGATCTAGTTGTTTATCATCTGCACATTTTTTTGAACAAACATACGCACTGAGGGCAAGGTCGCCTTGCCGTCATCCTCAGTATTATTATACTTACTTAACGTGCAATGTCTGCTTGAACGCGCCTGTCAACTCGATAAGGTTGTAATCTAGTACAGATCTACTTGAAACAAAGTGATCTTAATTGACCTTAAAGTCTATATCCAATGTGTGATATGTTTAATTCATACTTCTGTTATGTCTGACCTAGTTTTACATGATCGTATGTTTATCTTCCGCACATTATTATTTTGCTCAAACATAGAAACAAGAGTTCAAGGCCGTTATGTGCCATATCAACTTACTGTACACTCAGGCCACTTGTACATGTATTATATTACTTACCGTACCGTGTCTGTCGTGAACAAGCCCTTCACCCCGATAAGGTTTTAGTCTAATAAACTTGAAAGAAAGTGACCTTAATTGACCTAGCGTTGATATTCCGAATATAGATCTAGTATATTATGCAACATTGCTATGTTCAATTCACACTTCTGTATCCATTTTACGGTTTTTCATAATGGCTGTTTATCATCCGCAAGAACATAAGAACTGAGCACTATGTTATTAACACTTTGTGTAATCCATCGTGATAATAAATATTTATAACATAATTTAAATAGCGCCAATCTCGCCCGGCAGCAGGCTCTGTGCACTCTTCAGTCTATAATTACCCCCAGCAGACCATAATGACGCTCAGAAACATCATTGAAGGAAAAATAAAGTCGAAGGAGATTCTGGAGTAATTTTCGATCAGTCTGGTTATAATTGGGCATTAACAGCAGCGCCGTCATCGTCATCATCATCATTATCATCATCATCATCATCATCATCATCATCATCGTCTTCGTCGTCGTCGTCGTCATCATCATCACTATATCCTCGTTGTTGTCACTTTAGATTTATAAAGCAGAAATGGTAGAGTGTCTTTAAAGTAATTTTTAGACAAGCAAATCTGCATGTAATGTATAAACCTATACATGTATATGAAAAATGTGGTCTTTTAAGCCTTTTTCATCATCATCATCATCATCGTCATCATCTTCATCGATTTCTTCCCCCAGCATGCCTGCACAGGTGTCCACCTACTATATTGACCACAACCTTGACCGCTTCGACCACATGAGCATTGACCTTCACCGTCATGTGACCTCCTCTCACAGTGGCAAGGGACGCACCAAGGTGAGCTGCTGTGACTAGAGGGTGGATGGGTCTTAGTTTTAGTAAGTGTTGTACGGCACTTACAACACAATAAGTCACTTAAGTGCCCAAGATTAGAGGTGTTACAAGAGAGTAAAAAACACAAAAAAGAAGGAGGGGGAGATAAAGACAGTAGGCCTAGATGTTTGATAGGAAAGAAGGAGCGGACCACCTCAGAGTAGAGGACCTGCCAACCACCCACTCTGGATGTGTGTGGAGGCTACAAACGCACACATACACACACAGAGACATGCACACATGCACGCACGCACACGCACACGCACACACACACAGACAGAAACACACGAGTGTGCGCACTCACATACACACTCACACTCACTCGCGTGCACGCGCGCGCACACACACACACACGCACACACACAGCGCGCGCGCACACAAGCGCGTACACACGCACGCACACACAAAGATACACACACACACACATACACACACACACACACACACACACACATG